TTGAATTTGAGATACTACTTGCAGACAAGATGGTATTTGGGTAGGCCACCTGCTTTCTGGATATTCCTTGCCAATGGAAGATCCAAGCCAATCAAAAGTTGATGGGAAAACAGATGGTATCGGTGGAACTTGGAGAGAAGCAATTAAAGTTGCATTTGAAGCTACAAGATTAGCTTTTCCTGGTGGAGAAATTTTGGCGCATCTTGATCACAAGTGAGATAAAATTTTTTTTCTTGACCTAATCATTTTGTTTGATGTTTATATAATGAAAATTTTGGAGTCTTTGGTAACGAAAGTACAAACTAACAGATCAAGGACAATTTTTCTAGAAGATAAGCAATTCCATTACGAGGTTTTTATTTTTTATTTTTTTGTTTAACAAGTGAAATGTGCTTGTTTTTCCTAATGTGTAAAACCTGGGCTAGTTTTTTAATGCTAAAAGACCAAAACATGCAATTTCTGTGGATCGAAACTTCCAAGGGCTGGTATAGTTAGATTTCATGGTCAAACCATAAAAACAAGGTATTATTAAGCCTTAAGATTAAAAGCAGGCACTTAAATGATTTACTTTTATATTATGGTCATCCCAAACTTTGCCATGCTATCCACTGTATTTTATTCCTTTTTTAATAACCCTTGAGTAGCCATTCCATTGAATGAAAAATTGAAAATTGACGATGGCGCTCATTATTGATTGCAGGAGCTTCAAGAGCTGGCAGAAAAATGCAATTACAGAGTTTCTTAGTCAGCACGATATCAAAATTGGCAAGCCTAAAGATTTCAGCTGATGATGAGTAAAAGGGCTAGGGTTCTCAGTTTTCAATTGCCATTTTTAAAATTTTGAAAACCACGTATAGAAACTTGTTTAAGTTTATTGCTGGTTTCCAAAATACTTGATATCTACAACTATATATATACACCAAGAAGTGTAGAGCAATTTGAATTATATCAGACTTCATTGTACTAGTCATTAAATGAGGGTAAGCAATCTGATAGAGGAAGCCCTCCTTTCCATCCAATGGTCCTTGATCTGTAATTCATTATAGTTCAGATTGTAAAACAGAACTTTCAATATATATATATATATATATATATATTATATCTTTCAGTTTGTGGCACCATGATTTTTCTTCAAAATTGATAGTTATATATGTTTATGATATAACTCGACATGCAAACTATTAGAATTAATTTCTGGCAGTATCATTTTTTATTTAGAATTGATAGTGTTATCAACAAATAGTAAGAGGGGGCAATCGAATTATTTCAAGAAAAAGGAGGCATATGAATCCTTTAGGCCGTCAAATGCTGCTATACTTGCAATGAAGAAAATGGAATTATGAAATTTTGCAGTATAGGACCATAAATGGTGGTTAATTATTTACCACGCTAGTTTGCACGATGAATTTCCACCAGATCATTCATCAGAAAGAAGAGAGCCCAGCAATTTGTCGGAATTTCTCATAGGAGACCCAGAACACGAATTGCCATGGACCAAGCCTTGCCCATGTAGGAAAGAAACCCTTCCACAATGCTCTTAATCCTTCAATTTTCACTGTCTTGACCATACAGTCATATGAATTCTTATATACAACATTACCTTCTTTGCTTGATGCTTGATTCATCATTCTTGTCTTCACTACATCAGCAGGACAACTCAAGGCTGTTGCAGAGAGACCAGACATGATAGATGCCAAGGTGTGGGCATACACATTATCATCAGCTATTTGATTGTGGATAACAAAATGTTTTGCATGATCATAACAGGCTAGTTCTCCCATATTAACAAGAAATGCTCTCTGCACATTTGGTAAAACGCCTCTCCAAAGACCTCTAAAACCTTCTGCACTAACAATCTTGTTAAGAGCATCAAAAGGCCCTGAGTATCTAGGTTGCAGACCTTTGCTTACCATGCAGCTATCCGCTTGCATCCTTACCTTAGCAAGATCAGCTGGGCTAGCCACTACCTGCACTGATAAGGGAAAAGTAGAAACATATCATTATATTTAAAATGCTATATCTAGTGCAAGGACATCAAAGAAGATAAGGAACATTCAAGAATGAAGGCCTTTATCCTTTCTTTTCTGACAATAAGATAATTATAAAGTTATAAATACAACATGAGCTAGAGCTTTTAACTATAACGCTAGATGAAACCGAAAAAGCCAGCTATATGTTAATAATTGTGAACAAATGAACGAATATTGGAATCAAAAGAAAATGGAGAAACTTTATTTCCATTTGAATTGGATGAATTCTTAAAATACTCTTTTTCATTTCAGTGTTTTGAAGGGGAGAGGGAAGGAGCCTTAATTTTTGAGTGCATTTTTCTAATCTAATACCTACACCTTTTCAATTGTGGAACTCAATTCCGATTTCTTTCAAATTAAAAAGAATCCAATTAAATTATGGAATTCACATTGTGGATTTAAAAGAAACAATTTTTTTTCAATTCAATTCTGAACATATTAAATCCTGAACTCATAATGAATACATAAATTTGAATAGAACTCATTTATTCCAAAGCCAAGATACAATTTTGGAAGAATGAACTTTCTCTATCATATACCATAGACAAAAGGTATAGAGTTGAAATGGAATTCATTTATATCAATCACACACAAAAGAAAATGATTAAAATCGTTTTGACTTCACTGCAAGAAATAATAAAATCTACAAAGTGACAAGAACAAAAACACTGCATTGGACTTGCTCTTTTATATCTTGCAAACAGTTGTTCTTTGGCAAGTGAAAGATAGTCAAGAACCAACAAAATATTATAACATTTTGTTAGTATAGTAGATGTTGGTGATTCAGTAAATCTCCAATATATAGATTTAACTTTGCATTGGACTTTTTGATATGCCTAAGGAACAAAGGTTTCAACAAACATACAAGAGGTTCATTTTTCTTGCTTGAAGGAGAGAATTTTATAGGAATTAAGAACTGAATAGATAAAATAATGAAGAAGAGGAAAATGAAGTTCTAAGTACACATTTCAAAGTTCCTAGGAAGTAAGAAAATAAAACATCAAAATATCTAACAATGTTGTTGATGAAGGTGATTGAGTATTACATTGAGCTACTATTAAGAACAGCAAGGCTGATTTATTTTGTGTAATTGGTTTGTAAGGAACCACAATACTTACAATTTAACATGCTATTAATGTAATTATTTGTTCTTCATTTCCACACTTAAATTGAAACAAGCACTTCTAACTAAAGCATAAACATTCATCTGATCTTTGGCTAACCTTGAAGGAAATTTAATCAACAAGGCCAACTAAAAGCTTAAGAACGACCTTCAAAGTAAAGAATCATCAATTTCTATTCTTGAAGCATCATATTTTGGGGTAGTGCTATAGTAGTACCAATCTAGGATGACACTTTAACTTAAATAGGCCTCTGAATCGTATTCTATATCATTTCCCTTAGTCTTTGCCCGATTCAAGAACATTGTTCAGCATTTGAACAATATTGACTCTAATATAGAGCTCCCAATTCGATTGAGCATTTCGGTGAACTCAGCTGCCCACCCAGAATCAAGCACCCAAAATTCTTACATTCTTACAATTCGAACAAATTAAAGCACCAAATAACATGTCAATGAATCAGCAAACACAAACGACTGTCTTACCTGAGCGATAACCCCAGAGATTCCACCAACGAGAGCCTTAGTAGAGAGAGAAAGAGAGCCATCAGGAGTGACGAAATTCCTTAGATTCTCATAACCCACGATACGAATTGGAGTGTAGAAAAGGTGCCTGATAATGGCAGGAGAGAGGCCCTTGTAGAGTCCCAGAATCCCCTGCTGGGAAATGATTTCCGAGGCGACTCTGAACGCGTTGGTGGGGCGCTCGGACGCGGAAGAGAGAAGATGGGACTCGCCGTGGAGTTGGAGCCTGGTCTTTGTTAGGTCTATGGGGAAGGTGGTGGTCTCCGCCACCATGGCTGATAGTGAGGTCAGTACGATCTTTGTGTGGGTTCGGGTTTCATCGGTTCCATGGCCTTGGCTTATTTTCATCGAGACAGGAAATAGACGTGATCAAACTGCACGTACTATGCCAGTATATAAACACTGAAACTCGATTTTTAGCCACGGTCTAATCTAACTATCTATATAACTATTCATCTTGTCACAAACTCACTATTCTTTTTTTTTATTTTATTTTAGATCATTTGATATCCAGAATTTCATTGGGATTACTGATTAATGTGGATTCGAGTTGAACAAGACCCAATGGGTAATAAACCAACAATTTTTTTTTTTTTGTTCACAAAGGTAATTTGGGAGTGGGGAAATGTTTGTCCATGAGATGATTTTCACTTAATCAAAGGTTTTAACTAATAAATCAGGACATAAGGAGCAATTAAAGTCAAAGATTTAATTTTGTATTGTTAAACAATTAATCTTTTAATATATTAAAAAATATAAATATAAGATAGGATTAGTACTTATTTACCTTACTTTTAAAAAATTAAAAAAAAAAAGACAAAAAATACTCTAATTCATGCTTTAAAAATATGATATTTTAATTTTTTTTAATAGATATTTATTAAAATGACGTAATTTTATAATAATATTCTTTTTAATCTTCAGAAGGTAAAATAGATAAGTACTATTTTCATATAAGATAATGCTAATTATTAATTTTAGTGTAGATGTGATTTTATTTTAGAGAACTATATGTGTGTCTTAGCTCTCTACTTTGCCAGTAAGCGCACCATCTTAGCTCTCTGCTTCCACTTGCTTTGGCGATAACTGGCTCAAACTTCCAACCATACAAAAATCATAATCTCAATGTTGTTAAAAAGAAATGCTCCCAAATCCTAGGTTAAAATTAACTTTTAGTTTTTTACCTTACAAAATTAGTAGGTTTTAACCCTTAATGTTATAATATGACGATTTTAGCTTTTTATCTCACAAAGTTGGTAGGTTCTTTTATCTTACAAAGTTGGTAGGTTTTAGTCTCATCTCTTATACTATAATACTTTTAACCCCTTGTCTGTATAAATTGAAGAAAATAACCGTCACTTAATATCAGATTATAATGTTTTGTTAGTTTTATTAGTTGTCTGTTAGCATCAGTTAGCATCCGTTAGCATTTCGTTAATAAAATTAACAGATAAAATTAAATTTAAATTTCATGTTTTCTAAAACAGAATGTTAACAGATATTAACAGTCAGCTAACAGAACTAACAGAACGTTATAACCTAATGTTAAGTTAGAGTTATTTTCTTCAATTTGTATAGGTGAGGGATTAAAAATGTTATAATATAAATTGAGGAGTTAAAAATGTCATAATATAAGGTAAGGGGTTAAAACCTATCAACTTTGTAAGGTGAGGGGCTAAAACTTACAAATTTTGTAAGATAAATGGCTAAAAGTGTTATATTATAAGGTAAAGGGTTAAAACCTATAAATTTTGTAAGGTGAGGGGCTCAATATTGGTTTTTGCCCAAATTCCTGCAGCACTGAAATGGGGACGGAACCAACGACAAATGAGTTCTGTGAGAAAAGGGCTGGAAAATAAAAGGCGCCGAAATGAAGAGAGCCTCCACAATTGCGTCAAGTTGGCTTTTCGTATACCGCAGCCACATAATTTCTTTATATATATATATATATATATATATATTTCTTTCTTCTCCGTTTGGGCTTTCTGGAATTGTGGCCCAAAGTTTCAGCTAGCCCGTAATAGAGGCTCCTCATTTGAAAAAGGATTAAAACCGTAACCTTGGACTATCCTCTGAATCCGTCGAGCACTTGCTATGTTTGTTAGAACCAGAACTTTTGACTAGAATTATGATTTGAAAACGATTGAACTGGGTTGAGCACTCAAATGATGAATTGTAGCTTTGTCTCTCATCTTTCCAATGCCTTAAGAATCCTCTCAATTTAGTATTTGTAGAGAAAGTTATGGTAAAAATACCAAAACATACTCAATTTAGTATTTGAAAAATTAATTTTCATTGAGTTTGTTCTCTAATCTTTCTCTACAAAACAATAAAATTAATGTAAATTAAGTTGAGATTAAATTATAAAGAACATATAAAAATTAATCTCTAGGCAAAAAAAACTAAATAAAATGTATATAAAAATTATGAGAAAAATAAAAAAAAACATGATATCTTAGTATTTAAAATGTTAAAACTTCTTATGAAAATTTTCAAATACCTTTAATGAACCTTTTTTATATGTTAATTTATTAAAAATATTTAGACTTCTCATTCTCTATCTTCACATTTTAATTATCAAGATGTCATGATTTTTTTGAATCTAAAAAACGAAGCTCATCATGCTGAACATAAATTACTTCGAAACCTTCTTTTATTCGTTTCATAATTTTTTTTCCCAAATCCTTACATTGATTTACTTCTTTTTTTTTAATAAATCAAAATCAAAATTTTATTAAGAGAATTAGTACAAAGGTACTCACCCATTGCATCATGAAAATACAGAGAAAGGGGCAGGGAGTTAGGACTAGACCACACATAGGATTGGAAGCTGACACCAATCACTTAAACAAAAAGAGCAGATTTCAAGTTTCCTTTAATCCAAGCAAAGGTCTTAACCTACACAAAGTCTGTATTATTATTCTCATCCCAAGAAAGTTAGTTGAAAATAATACCATTTCTACAGTACCAAGTGGCCCAAGCTGTTGGAAAAATGGTGAGAGTCCAACACTGTCGTGCTTTCCTTAGAATCGAAAGCGAGCAAAGCTGAAGAAGTAGATGGGAGATGTTATCAGTATGGTTAAACGTGAGTCTCCACCAGCTACATACACGATTCCAAAGATTTTGAGAAAATTTGCACTTTGCGAAGACATAGTTTGCATCTTCCATATAAGTATCACATAGGACGCATGCTGGGCTAGATACTAGATGAATTTCACGTTGTATGAGTTCATGCTTGGTGGGGAGGCGGTTTAAGAAGAGGCGCCAGGCAACGACACTACTTTGATTTACTTTACTTTTATTATGTTGGTTTTAATAATGGATTATTATTACCTATGCCACTACTGGAAAACACAGTATATTCGACAGAATTTTTTGTCGAATATGAAGCAATTTCTGTTGATTATGATTTAAT